TCTTTCCAGCAATTTCCTCCCCAGGTTCTTTTTTTTATTTGCTATTATTTTCTCTTTTTTTTTGTCTCTTTCGATTTCTGTTTGATATGATCTGTGTCTTCACTTTCTTTTGTCCACTCTGCTGATATTGTTTATCTCTTCCCACTCTGTGATTTCTTTATATCTTTTTTTCCATAGTTCGTTGATTTCTTTTGTTGTTCTCTTAACAATTCTTTTGCATACTTTTTTTGTTTTTTCCCTTGCAAACTGGTATATATATCAGGTTATCTCATTGGTCAGAATCCCCTTACTATATAGTTTCTTGTACTCTCTAAGTTCATAACTAATGGCATTTTTGGTTTTGAATCTTCTTTCTTTTTCCCTTTGTTGCAATTTTTTTGACACTATTCAGTTTTTTCTTTTATTATCTTTTTGTATTTATCTGTTATCTTATATTGCCAGTGTTTGTGCATTAAATACTTTAGGCTTTCTCTTTCCTTGCATCCTGGGCATTTGTTTGATTTGTAGATATCTGGTCATCTTTCTATTAGCCTATCTAGTGTAGGGAGTTTGCCATTTAGTAATCTATACCTAATTCTTCTATATGTGTAATCTTCTTGGCTTGTATGCATTTTAGTTATTCTGGATTGATGTTGTGCTTCCCAGATAAAGTACCAGTCTATTTGTAGCTCGTCTCTATATTCAATCTATACTCTGTTTCTTCTCTGTGTTATCCAGTTTGCTATCTATTTGATGTTTTGTATATTTTTCAGAAATTCTTTGATATTTGTGTTTAGCTGGTATCCTCTCCAATTTAATGTTTCCCATGCTGCTGCTCTTGGGTTGACTGTTATAATTGCTTCATCACCTTTGTTTGCTCCTTGTTTTGCCAGTTCATCTGCCTTTTCGTTGTTCTCTTCTTTCTAGTATACTTTGACTTTAATAAATGTTGTTTGTCCTTGTTTTTCTTTGATGATTCTTTTAATCAGAGTTTTTGTTATCCAGTTTGCACTTTTATAGATTTGGCAGCTTCCTTTGTCTTTTTTTTGAATCCCTTGAATGGCTGCCTGGCTATCTGTATATATTTCAACTTCTGTTTGTATTGGGATTGTGACTAGCATGGTTAAGATTGCCATCAATTCTGCTCTCGTTGATGATAGAAAATGTTCTGTACGACCTGAGTATATGACTTTCTCTCCTGTTTCTTGATTGGTTATGTGCCATCCCACTCCCATATTGGTTCGGTTGATTGCTTCCTGGACCATTAAGCCATCTGTGTATGCATTTATTCTTCTCTAGCTTTCTGTTTGTTCAGTTATTTGGCTAGTTCTTTTTTATTTGAACTGCTGATTTGTATGTATTTTATGATTTTGTTTTCTATTTCTGTTTGTTTTTCACCAATTATAACATTAATTCTGATTTGTGTTTTGTTTTCTGGATTTTATATATTGTGCATTATTGTGCCTAGTGATGTTTGTATTCTATCTAAGTGTCCTAAGATTTGACTGTGAAACTTTGTACTGTATATAATTTTAGTTACTGAAATAATTATTGCCTAGTCTATTTTAATTTCCCTGGTATACCACTCTCTTGTGTTGTCTCTGTAGTTACACCCTTGACACTTGTCTATAGATGAATCTCCTCCTCTTTGTCACATATGTTGTACTCTTACTTTGTTATCTATTATTCTATATCTGCGATCTATTCTTTCAATATATATTTGTTGGTTGATCATATATGCTAAGTATTTTTGCTTTTGGATATTGTGGCTTTTTGCTACTTCTAGCTGAAAGATTGGATTGGGTCTTGTTAGATTCGTTAGTGTAATTGTGTATCTGTTTTCTAAGATATCTGGTTGGCTGCATTTTTCTCTGATCTTAGTGAACCATTTTGGCTATTTGCCAGTCAGTTTACATCCTGTAGCTGTTTTGATTTGTCTCCAGTTGAGCATATGTATTTGTTGGGCATTGGTGATCTGTTCGATAAATATTAGGTTGTGCTTTCTGATGTTTTTGATGTTTTTCTTGCTCCATGTTTGCCCTATAATATCTTTAATTGTGTGCAATCCTGTGTTGTCATGTGTTTGTATCAGGCTATAGTCTTGGTTTTGTTCTACCATAATATCTTTCTCTTTGAACATCTGTAGAATTTGGCTTGTTAGATATTTCTTGGGTTGTTAATCATTGTTTTTGGCTGAAGTATGTTTTTTGGTATTCATGTTCGATTTTGTAGATGCTGCAGTCTTCTTCTGGTTAGTGCTTCACACAAGTTGTTTTTGTTTAGGTTTGTTATCCAGTTTTTGGTATGTAATGTGAATTGTCTGTCTTTTATATAGAATAGTTTATATCCTGTATAAACATACAGTATATGCTACTATTTGGAGCAGTACTTGAGACTCCAATTTTGTATTTAAAGGCTTGCCTAATTTGACTGTCCAGAATGTTAATCTCTTGATTTGAGAGAACTGTGTCTTGTAGCATATATTCTATAGCTGGCATCATGACTTGATTCGAAATATATCTGCATTGTTTATCTGTGATTATGGCATTTTTCAGAATTCGTATTGTTGTTTTCACCTTTTGTCTAATCAGTTCATGCTAGTGCTTTTTGCTATCTGTTGCTGTAATCCATATCCTGAGAATTCTTATGGCTTGTTTGAATTACACTGGTTTGATTACTTGGTTTTGGAACTAAAGGTCTTCAGTATTTTTACTATTTATTGTGAGAAGCACTGCTTTTTCTGGATTAACTCTAAAATTAGTTAGTTTTGCAAATTGTTTTGTAGTTTTGATGATCTTGTCGATATGCTCTCGGTAACTTGCTATTCAAATTGTATCATTTATGTATATTATTGATGAGATGCTATATTCTTGTTTTCTCCATATGCTTGGATTGTTTGTGAGTTTTTGAATTGAAAACTTGTATCCTATATTTCCTTTTCCTACTTTGATAATTAATGAATCGTAGTAGATGCACCATAGCAAGAATGAGATTGTATCTTCTTGATTTATACCTTGTGCTGGTTTAAAACTGTCTGTAAGACCATGACATATAATGACACTTGTTTCTCTGTTATTGGTTAGGTTTTCTAGGATCTTGTTAATAGTTGTTGGAACTTTAATTCTCTGTAAAGCCTTGTTTAAAAGCTTCAGGTTTATTGAATCATAAGCTTTGCTAATATCCTGGCTTAGGATCCAACATTCCTTGTCTAGCTCTCTCACCTTCTCCAATACATTGTTAAGAATGCTGATTGGTTCTTATGTGCCTTCTTCTAAAAGTCCTGTCCAGTTAAGTGGTGAAAAAATTTCATGTTCCATTAGTATATTACTTATTCTGTTGTTAATAATTTTGGTGAATATTTTTTTGATCATTTCTAACAGTACAATTGGTCTTGTACAGTTTAGATTATATTGCCAGTCTGCTCTCTTGGGAATTGGATAAATGTTGATTTTGTTTCACTGCTTTGGGATTTTTGTTGATTCCAAGATTCTGTTAAAAATTAATATAATTCTCTTGATTCCTTCACTACCAATATATTTTAGCATGACATAGTTGAACTTAAATCTTCCAGAAGCAGACTCTGCTTTTGCTTTGATAATAGTGGCTTTGACTTTGTCTATTAATATTAATTGTGTTATTGGGTTATATCATGTTGTGTCAATGTTCAGTTGTAGTGTGTATTCTTTCTCTCATTTGTTTCAGGTCTCTTTGTCCAGGTCTCTGGTTTCTATTGTGAAGTTTGAAAAATGTGATGTTACCTTTCTTTTTATTTTTTGTGAGTCTGTAATGACATTCATATCTGGTGTTTTGGTTATTAGTTTGTTCATTGTGATGCATGTTCTTTGCTGGTCTAGGATTGTGCAGATCATTTTTTTGGGATCATATTTCATTCAGGACATTCTTTCTTCTATTCATTGTTTGATGATGGTTGTCTTGTATATTTTTTGTACATTGTGAAGCCATTCTTTTGTGATTGCATTTCTAGCTAGCTTATCTATTTACATGTCATTGTTGTTTTTGTATTTTTGTTTGATTTCATCTATAAGTTTAGAAATTGCTTGCTTGGCTGTGTCCAGGTCATCTTTGTTTTTGAGGAGACAGTTTCCCCATATGCTGATCTTCCTAAGTGAAAGTAGATGTTGCATTTTTTCAGATGGAGCTAGTTTTTTCCCTTGGTAATGTATTGATATATTGCTTTACTAATAACATGCCATGTAATGTTCCAGAGTTTGTTGCTATTCATCTCTACTGTGTCTTGTTTTGAATTTTGCTCTGTAATTTGCTTCTCTATTTGTTGTTGAAATTTTTTCCATTGTTCTGGGCTGGTGTTTTTGGAATCGAAGATAATTGTTTTTGATAGTTTTTGTCATATTTCCTGTTGTTGGACTATTTTAGTAATGTTAATTTCACATGTGCAAATGTTATAATCACTGTGTATAAGCATGTTTTATGTAGTAATATCCACATATACCAAGTTCTATTTCTGTCCAGGAAACATCCATATATAGTCTATTTGAGTATGAGTGTCTTGTGAGTTGGACCAGGTGAATTTGCATTTTGTTGGTCATACTTCTCTAAGTGTTAATAGGAACAGTACTGTTGACGTTAGTAGTCTGTTTCTTTCTACTGGGTTTTTGTCCATGTAGGGGTTCATGAGAGTATTGAAATCTCCAGCTGTGATAATGTTTCAGTCTCTACTTTGTCTTTCCAGTACTCTTTCTTGTATCCATTTTGCTGTTGATGAGTATTCTGGGTTACCTCTGGATGGAATATACACTCTGATGATACTGATGTATTCCTTTTCTTTAAATTACAGATCTATACAGATCCCTCTGCTGCTCAGGGTATTGATTTTACCAATATGTTTTGCAATTTTTTCTTTGATCATTATCAGAATTCCTTTTCCTTTTCTGCTATTGCTCCAAAATGTATGATATCCTTGGAATTTTCAATGCATATGTTCATCAATTTGTATTTGGATTTTGGTGATAATTGCAATGTTGATTGTTGAAACCTCTAACGTTGTATGTGACAATTCTCCAGGTAATATCTTATGTTTGATGGTTCACTGTTTCTGTTGGACTTGTGATGCTTTCTGCCTGCTTTGTGTTGTGTCTTGTAAGTGGTTGTTGTATGTTGTTGCTTGTTAAATTTGCTATTCTGGTTGATTGAATTTCTGTTGTTATTAATAAGTTTATCAAGGTAATTTGCCTGGTTTGTTCTTTATTGTTGTTTTTTATTATCTTGAGTTTGTGATGAATTGTTTGTTATACTGTCTATCAGTTAGTTAAGTGTACCTACTACTGTTTGGAATGTATTGTCTATGTTTGTCATCCTAGAGTTAAGATTGTGTTGTTAGACTCTGATGTCACTTGTATCTACTGCTGGACTTGTAGCTGGTCTTTTTCTCTAATAGTTGAATTCTCTGGGTTTGAGAGTGATTAGCTGGGGGTGGTTCTCCTCCAAGTATGTTTTTTCATCTTCAATCACTCCTTTCATCTGGTCTTCATTATCTATAGTGTAGAAGTAAGCAAAATCTTCTAAGTATCTGATTCTTTGATTGGGATTACCTATGAATTTCTTGATATGTTTGAGCTTTGATCCTATCACTTGTACTATTTTAGGTACTTCTGTTAGTAATGATTATAAGTTGGTCATTGCTGCTGGATTGCCTGCTGTGAGTTTGTTGACTTCTCTTGTTGTGTTGCTTATGACTTGAGTAAATGTTCCTCTGCTTTAAAATTAGCTTATTGCTCTGTTGAATTGTTCTTGAGCCTTGATTCGGTCATTGTTTGCTGATTTGTTGATTTGTTTATTTTGAACTCTTCTAATTTAATTTGTGCTCTCCAGTTTATATTTTTGATATAAACCATTGTATTTTTTTGCTTTTTTCATAAGTTTTTGTTGCCTTTGTTGCTGTTTTGCTTTGATTTCACAATCTTTTGCTAGGTGGTCTGGTGTACTGCAAATGGCATATAACTTTGTGTCAGTTTCATATCAGAAGAGTGTTGTTTCTCCCAGTTGTGTTTCTATATTTTTTGCTTTTTCTTTTGTCTTTGCTGAGGTAAAGTTTAAAAAAGCAAATCTTTTTCTTGTATAGTTTTTGTTGCAGGGAATGTGGCATGATGCTGTCTATGTGGATTCGATTATGTCCCGTAGGTCATATCCTATAGTGCCTAGTGAAAGGTTTGTAAGTTTTAAGATATATCTGTCTCGTGCCTCTTTAATCTCAAAGGTTCTAATAAATAGGTAGATTCTGAGTAATTCTCCTTTGAATAAAATGTTCCATCTTGTGCTAATTTTCTCGTACTCCTCTTCTGTTTTGAATTCAGCTAATGCACTTTGTCACATGTCTGTTGTATTCATTCTGAAATTTTTAATTTTTCCATATTAAGTGATTTTCTGCCTTACTTCTTGTTAATTGGTATTTAGGGGGATATCCCAAATGCAGATAGTTCTGCTTTTGGCTTCTGTCGAATCAATATTAGCCCATTCTGTCATGTGGTTTTCGTTATTTTCTTATAGGGTTAATTTGAATGCTTTGTGTAAATCTTTTTTATTAGTAAAGAAGACAATGATTATTTTTTTCCCCTGGTGTTGTGCCATCCAGGATCCCATATAGAAGTCAAGGTGGGCAACTGCCTGTTTTACTGTATTGAGTTTTTACTCCATTGTACTATTGAGGTTGGCTGTCTAGATGGCTGCTTTAAAGCATATATGGCTGTATTGGATGCGTCAGTTTGTTGGGGGGTCTGTATGACTGTCTGAACAGGGGTGACTTGGATTCGGCCATCTCTTCTTTCTCCATTTTGCTATCTAGTTCAGTGGGTGTTGGATTTTTATCTGACTTCTCGAAGATAGCCAGGGTGGATGAGGCAAGTGCCTGTTGGGATTTCTCTATTTCCATATGAATGTCTTCCACTTATTTGTAGGCGGTGTCTATTTCATCTTCAGCTGTGATAACCAGTCAACTAAGATACTGCCCTCTGCTACTGACCATTCTGGGTTCTGTTTAAGTTTTGTTTTTTGCATTGTTTTGGCTGTCTGTTGTGGCTATGTAACAATTTTCCACTTTTACTACGCCATATGCCGTGTGACCGGAAACTCCTGGGATATCCTGGAATATCCTGGAATACTGTGAAACATCTCAGAACTTCTTGGAACCTTGTGGAACACCCCGGAACCTCCCAGAATATCATGAAACTTTCCAGAATATTATTAATCATTTATTATTAATTATTGTATTTATTATCTTTATACTTATTTGGAAAACATGACATTATTATTAAGTGCACGTAACATTTATTATATTATTATTTTTCTCTTATTTTACATTTATGGTATATAAGACCTTTCGGAAGAACCAATAAGGACTTATGTATTAATAATATGTATTTTTATTTATTATTTTTTTTTTTTAGAGGCAAAGTGCATTACATGCGAACTTTATTAACTTAGCATTGAAGTTACAATCATT